TGATTAAAAACCTAGCAAAAGTTGTAGACAATCGGCAACGAGATAGGGACAAGCACATACAACCGTTTTTGTTGTCATATCGAAGCGCTGTTCATGAAAGTACATCAGTGACACCAGCTTTCGCAAACTTTGGAAGAGAATTACGGGTGCATGCAGACCTGATCACCGGGATACCACCTGATGCCCCACGCAGTATAACCGATTATGCAAATGACTTACGGAACAAAATGAATGACATTTATGAGCACGTCAGACAATCGGGCCAGCAAATGTCTGAAAAGATGAAAACCCGGTATGACCGCAAAATGAACAACAAAGGGTGCGACGAAGGTTCACTAATGTGGTTGCACAATCCAGTCCGCAGCAAAGGGAAATCTCCAAAGCTTCAAGCTAAATGGGACGGCCCGTACCGGATTGTGACCAGGATCAACGATGTAACCTACCGGATACAGAAAGGCGCAAGAAGGACTCCTAAGATCGTCCATGTGGATCGCTTGGCGCGTTATTATGGGGCGCGTTATTAATGCTCGGGACGAGCATGTCTTAGGAGGGCGCAGTGTTGGTTGCCTAAGTTGACGTCAGGTACCTGGAACTAGCGCCATCTAGTGTCGGGGACCAGAGCGAAGAGGGCTTCCTAGAAAATGTCAATCTTGACTTTCGACCAACAGCGCCATCTAGTATCGAACAGAAGAATTAAGCTTCCTAGAAGCCCCACACTCGAACTTTCAGCGCCTGGCCGGTTGGCGCGCGTATTTACTTGAATATTCTGGAATATTCTGCATGTTTTCGTGGAAGAGCCCTATATAAAGCCACTGCAAGCGGCGATCGGGGCAGTATTGAATTTGGCGAGACAAGCGAAGCTTCGGAGCGAAATAAAGTGAATCAGTGTGATAAATTATTAGTGTCTTTTTAATTTTTAATTGGTGTTCGGTAATAAAAGTGTAAAATTTTTTTTACACTTTACGGCAGTTTTTTACACATACACGGCAGTTTTTATTGTCACGAACCCTAAGCTATTAACAATATCGTCTCTCTCGAATTCATTCATAAAATACAACAACCGTTTCTGTCAGAACGACCGGGATAGTAAAACATCACGCGGGGAATGCCCACCTACCTTGTCGTAGCCTGATTTGGTGTTGCATTACGTGCAGCAATACCCTATATTGTAGGTTTAATATTAAAAATTAAAGGGATCCATTAATAATACAAGTTTATCGATCTGAATATAAAATTATAGTATTTTTGCATAGTGTAATGGCATCACGATACTACATACTAAACAATATGAAATAATGGTACAGTTACCATTACGGCCTATTAGAAGACCACTGCTGAACATAGACTACCCCCTTAACTTGTCTCATAGGAGGGATATAATAATAATAATAATAATTCTTTATTGAACACAGAATTAATATATAATTCATAGATACTCTGGCTCCTAAACTAGGTTACCCTGTATGTTAGGAGGCAGTTTCCCTCCCATTCAGTTATCTTACATTCCGTGCACAATGCAGACTCTAAACATAGATCAAGAAAAATAAAAAAATAAAAAATAAACAAAGTGTGTATGCATGCGTGCGTGTGCATGCGTTTGCGTGAGTGTAAGTGTGTGCGTGTGCGTGTGCGCGTGCGCGTGCGCGTGCGTGTGCGTGTGCGTGTGCGTGTGCGTGCGCGTGTGCGTGTGCGTGTGCGTCTGCGTCTGCGTCTGCGTCTGCGTGTGCGTCTGCGTGTGCGTCTGCGTGTGCGTCTGCGTGTCGTGCGTCTGCGTCTGCGTCTGCGTCTGCGTCTGCGTCTGCGTCTGGTCTGCGTCTGCGTCTGCGTCTGCGTCTGCGTCTGCGTCTGCGTCTGCGTCTGCGTCTGCGGTGTCTGCGTCTGCGTCTGCGTGTGCGTCTGCGTGCGCGTGCGCGTGCGCGTGCGCGTGCGCGTGTGCGTGCGTGTGCGGCGTGTGCGCGTGTGCGCGTGTGCGCGTGTGCGCGTGTGCGCGTGTGCGCGTGTGCGCGTGTGCGCGTGTGCGCGTGTGCGCGTGTGCGCTGTGCGCGTGTGCGCGTGTGCGTGTGCGCGTGTGCGCGTGTGCGCGTGTGCGCGTGTGCGCGTGTGCGCGTGTGTGCGTGTGTGCTTGTGTGTGTGTGTGTGTGTGTGTGTGTGTGTGTGTGTGTGTGTGTGTGTGTGTGCGTGTGTAAGTGCGTGTGTGTGCGCGTGTGTCTGTTTTTGTTAAAATATGTGCTTAAAGTAGGTTTTCACAATTTTCATTGTCGTATTCTTTTAGCCAATTTAAAATAGTTTGTTTAATTTGGTGTCGTTTTAAGATCTTTAATTTAATTTTTTATTAATAGCATTGTGTAAATGAGGTGCTTGGTAGTCTTTTTGCTAAAGCGCTTTTGACAAATGGTACTGGACATTTTTGTGTTCTTTTGTTTCTATCTACATATATGGGACAAATATTATGGTGTCGTTTTATGCATTGGTATATATACGATTTTCGTACACTTAGGACATTTGCCAATTCATATACTTTAGATGTTGGGTGTGTATAAGGAAGATTTAATATTAGTTTTAATATAGATCTTTGAGCTCTCTCGGCCTCTATAAGATACGTTTTGGGAGCTCCACCCCATGAGCAGATACAATAATTTATGAGACAATGACAAAGGGCGTTATATGTCTCAATTAGCAGTTTTTTTGTCGCTACAGTTCTTAGGTTCTTAAATACTATAGTGAGTCTCCGAATTCGTTTAGATATATTTGCTATATGAGGTTGTCAATTTAATCTTTCGTCGAGGATTACTCCAAGGTATTTTATCGTAGATGTTCGTTCTAATATTGTACATTTACATATCTCCGTTTTTTTGGGAGGTATTACACGAGTACGTATGCATGGTGGTAGAAAAGCTATGTGGTGGTCTTGAGACTATAGTTTTATAAAAGCAGATGTATTTTGTTTTTGTACCATTGACGGTTAAAAGATTATTTTCCAGCCATTTTGTGACCGTACGTAATCCATTTTCACCACAGTGTTGCACAGTATCCCAGTCTGTATCATGAAAGAGGATTACAGTATCGTCCGCAAACATAAAAAGGTCCGCACTATCAATGTTAATTTTACACAATTCATTTATGTACATCAAAAATAGTGTTGGTCCAAGAGTGCTGCCTTGTGGAACACCATAGCTACATTCGGCTTTATCGCTTAGTTACCAACACGTAATATTTGTGTTCTGTTTATAAGGTCGTTACAAAACCATTCATATGGCATACATCTTATACCTAGATTTTCGAGACGTCCGAGAAGTATAGGAATAGACACAGTATCAAACGCTTTTTGCAAGTCTAAGAAAACACATATGTGGAGGAAAATAATGATACATATAATATATTTAATTATACTAAGTAATCCAACCCTGCATACGAGAATAGTGCATGATTTAATCAATGTACCGTCTATAAAACATATCAAGAACAACGAGCATAAAGCATTCCTAGAATTATAAACCGCTTTAAATATATATGTACAAGATTGTGAATTACACATAGACCACAAATTTTCATTTCTGGGTGCAAACAGCAAATGTGGACCTGGTGTTGTAGAAATGAAGTGCCAATCATCCGATTATAATATGAAAACTCTAGATGCAATCAAACAAAATATACTTTATTTTTGGGTGTACAAATCTGACGTTGTCACAGTCCACACAAAAAGCAGATGATAGTTCCAAGTTCAGGGCCAATAACTGGTGAATACATGTGTGTATTTGCTGTGTGGACAGGCATAATTCATAAAAAGAGATGACCAGTTCTGGAAGAAAATTATGGAGACTCGCGATACGCGAAATGTGTAAATCTAAGAGACCATAGCTTACGTGCCATTAAGAACATATTGACTGAAATAAATAACTTGTAGAAGCATAAGTACCTTTACCTGTTTTGTTTTTGATTTTTTGTTAAACTTTGTCCATTGAAATACGATGCATTAATATTTATCAATGATCTGATAAAGTTTTATTTAATATATTATAATATTGTGTTTTTTACTATCTTTTTGTTTTAATCTAATTTCATCATATTCTTTTAATGCATCTCTAATCACAAATTCCATCAGTCATTTTGTATTTTGTTAGTCATAGAACCTTTTCCCAGGTAATCCTTAGTGAAAATTAAATAAGCTTATAAAAAAGATTCTTCGCTGATACACGCATTTTACAATCGGTAAATTTACATTAATAAAGATGCAAGCCCATACTACAAAGTTAAGTTTATTAAGTCTACAAAGTTATATTGTAAGAATGCTGAACCCAACTCTCAATTTCAAAAAAAGATATCCCAGATACCTAAATTTTCTCGCCAAGTAACTACTCGATACTTGTAAAATTACTAACACTTCAAATATCCTCATACCAACAAGGAAAGAAAAAAAGGAACTCTGTAAAGAAAGAAAGCAGAAAGATATGTGCGTCAGTGCGTGTCAAATAGTTCAGAATGGTTTCGACTTCACTGGAAGCTTTTCTTCCTTTATTGCTCTGAGCAAGTATCAAGTACAGTTGTGTATAACATATTAAATATAGCGGAAAACTATTTAAATGTATGCTTGCGTAAATCGGCTTGTAATTCGAATACCTAAGTTCGAGCATGTCAAAAATTTAACTACGTCCTTAATTATCGTATTTTTAACAATTTCACGTTTTTACAAGTCGCGGCACGTAAGTCTAGTCTAGTCTAGCGCTGAAGGAAACGTGGAGGGGATAGCTGCGCATGGCGTATCAGTACGGGGGACGAAATGCGACTGGAGAGTCAATCAGCGTTTGCGAACGATACGCACAGCCAATCAGGGCGTGAAAACGATATGCACGCCCGCCCCGTGATCCGCTTATTACCCCATGATACCTTATTTTCGACTTACGTGCAAAAACGGTCACCGCTAGACTTTCGTGCAGCTTCTTATAAATAAAGTTAAAATAATAAAAATAAACACAGCACAGAATTTTTAATATTTTCCCCAGGTATGGTCTGCTTATCATTACCAATAGGCGCAACTCCGCGTCGAATCGCATCTGTGATATCCGAGGCATGTAATCGCCAAAGAGCCCTTTCTGGAGCTTGGGCCCTACAAACTCGCTGTGGGGTCTTGACTCGTTCAGTGCCTTCGCCCCTCGCAAGACTCACTCTTAACTTGCTGTCGAGGAGGTATGCTGTATCGTACGCAGAAATAAACGCTCCGCCAGACGCAAGGACCCGAACGACGTTGTGGGGACAGACTGTCGACCATATTATTTATTGGAGGCCACCGCAAGCTAACATTAGTAAGTGTTTTATACGTAATAGAAGCTCTATCTATATTATGGTTGTAGCGCAATGGGTCCGGTCGACCGGGAGTGTACCACAGAATACCAGCATGAAATTGCAGCTCAATGTTGCTGTGTTTCATATAGTGAGTATAGAGAACCGGAGACGAAGGTTTTTCATATATTGAAAGAAGGTATCTTAGGTTAACTAGTAGTACCAACCAATAACCATTATTTCACATCAAAATATGGAACAAAACGTTAAATGTAAAGTGTCTCTAAAAATAATGTTAACGAACTGGTAGTTAATAGGTATAAAATAAGCCAAAAGAATATATTTTTGAATTTCATAAAAAAACTAATCTAAGCTTGATAAAGGTGCAAACATAAAACTAACTAGAATGATTATATTAAAATTTCCTATAAATACTAAAGATATTAATGGTATTACATAATGTTTTATAAAAGAATGTCCATCATGTCTGTGTCATATGAATGTCTCTCAATGCATGAGTTGATAGGATTTTGTTAAATTAAGACCTTTGACCTTTGCCTACCATCTACGACTATATCGCCACTTACCATGAGGTAAGGTAAAAGTCAACCGCTTATAGGTAGGTAAAATATAACCTCAAATATTTTGCAGGTATGTCACTGACGGTAATACAATACGCCGATACTGTCCGTTTGGCTGTAATGACAGATGCTCGCCTGTCTCCTTCTCACAACGTCCCCGCTAACCGCTGGCCTATCGCAGTGGAACAATTAGTCACAAAAATCGAGCAAGAAATTGCCAGAATTGCAGCACAACCTGAAATTTCTCTCGAAGAAATTCCGCAAACAGTGAAGACCGAAGGTGAAGAAACTAATACGTATATAGCCCAACCTTATACAAGTTAATCGACTCATAAACCTCCGAAGGCGGAATCATCAAGTCCTCCGCTAACACGGAAGTGTTTGATTTAGGAATAAAATTGAAAATAAAACGATAATAAATAGGGAGTCAATTGGATAGCTTTGCTTGACATAAAAGTGATCTACAAAGCTGTATGTTGAATGTATTATAGATGAATTGTACTTTCAGGTGTATAAAGTACTCTATGATTTGTACCTAATTTTTAAATAAAACGACGTAAATATTTGTTTTTTTATTGTCTATGCATAAAGTCAGTATATTAAATATATATATATATATATATATATATATATATATATATATATATATATATATATATATATATGTAGTATGAAAAAATTATTTCTTAAAAAATATACACAAAGTGCATGTCGAGCATCGCACAATGTATATAAGTATAGTTACCAGTCACAATACGTGAACTTAGAGACTTTCTTGAGTTCGCGGTTTTGAAATAAAATTACTTTTATTTATTTATTTCTCCGCTACAAAAAATATAGATATGTCTACTAACGAACTTAACAAAAATTTTAAATGTTGTGATGTTTTTATGGTAGACTAGAGCCTTAACTAGGGTGTCCCTGTACTTCAGGACTTCTTCAGGTCGCTCGCACGCTAACTACTTCCGAGTTTGTCGGAATCAGCGGAATAAAGTAAGAGTAGTAGGATACGTGCGTGCGTCGTGCGTGCGTGCGTGCGTGCGTGCGTGCGTGCGTGCGTGCGTGCGTGCGTGCGTGCGTGCGTGTGTGTGTGTGTGTGTGTGTGTGTGTGTGTGTGTGTGTGTGTGTGTGTGTGTATGTGTGTGTTGTGATTTATATTATGAAGAACATACACCATCACATGATAATAAAAGTAGTCCATCCAGTGTACCTTCCATTCAAAAAATAGATAAAAACTTGGTTACCTATTTTTTTTACTTTACAATAAGATGGATAAGTTTGATTAAATGTAGTTATGACCACTAAATGCGATTACATTGTTCTTAAATGGTCTATTACAAAGATACCTACATTATAATTACTAGCAGGGGCGCATTGTAAATTTGTGGGGCCCTGGGCTAACACTACTTAGAAGCCTACTTAATTGCTCAAGTAATTATTAAAACTCATAGTTTTATTATACTACTGCGTAAAAAATTGTTTTCTATATTGATGTAGGTATACGGTATGGAAAAAACTTGGACAAGAAATTTTTATTTACAAAATATGACTTAATGTTTGTTACAAATTGTTGTACCTATACAAACAGCAACCATACGACATTATTGCTAAATAAATTGACAGGTGTGGTTACGTTATATAAATTATAAAGCAATCTTTATGCATTTTGTGCTGATCACACTGTAAGTCCTTTGTTAAATCGCACTTTGCGGAAAGGACTGATAAATTATTTAGTCGATAGTTCGAAATCGTTGTCCTATATTTGTTATCTATGTACGACATCCTGTAGAAAGAACGCTCCGCTTCACAGCTACTGATTGGCAATGTTAAAAAAATCTTTAAGATTGTATAGCAATTAAGTAACTACGTCAAAAAGTTTCTTTTTATAAAATAGCATAAAAATTGCATTGCAAGAGGTATTAGACTCCGACTTAGAATGTAGTAAATAATACTTAAAGATACTTAAAGATATTAATAAATGATACTTAAAGACTTAGAATGTAATAAATAATTCGTCTACGTCATTTGGATAATTATTATATTAATAATATTACGTACACTTTCCAGGCCTATGTATTTCCTCTCCATTTAGAGGTTCCGAGAAAGTATGTGAAAATACCATAAAATTACCATTATGTGGAGAACCCACATAACGGTCATTTTATGAGTGCTATGGAGCTATTGGCAGAGTTCGACCCATTCATTCGTGAACATATTGAACCGATAATATCTTAACTATCAAAAACAGTATATGAGGAAATAATTGAGATTATGGGTAAACAGATAATAAAGAAATATTCTTTAAAAACCTCAATACATGTATTCATTTAATTTATTACATCAAAATTTGGGCATCAAAATAAAAAAAAAGATTGTAAAAATTAAACTTATACCTAGGTATCTCATATTTTATGCTGAAGTTCAAAATGAAATTTTTAACTCGATTAATTTTAATTTTTAACTAAGAAACAGAAACAGAAACTTTTTAATTCAATGTAGATTATAACAATACTTATTGAAAGTCACTTTTTTCATTTACCACAGGTTCGCAAAAAAGAACCTCTGTCCTGGGAAGAACCAGCAAGAAACCCAGCGGGACAATTTTTTTTTTCAATAATGTTTACAATAAACAACACAAGACAAATTAGAAATAGCTTGGTAGCGATCACCCTTCCCAGAGGTTATTATCATCCATAAATTCCTTAATATTATAATAACCCTTTTTATACAAACTTAGTTTAATAACATTTTTGAACTTCGTGTATGACAAATTTTGTATATTTTCTGGGATTTTGTTGTAAAAGCGTATACATCGCTCCAAGAATGAATTACTGACTCGGTGGAGTCAAGTAACTCCACCGAGGTACTACTAGGTGGTACTACTAGCTTGTGTCTGTTCCTAGTATTTACAGAATAAATATCACTTATCTTCGCAAAACTACTTTTATTTTTGTGTACGTACATTACATTTTCATAAATGTATTAAGAGGCCAGAGTTAATATATTAATTTCCTTAAATTTTTGTCTCAGTGACTTAGTTTTAAATTATATATTGCTCTAATGGCCCTCTTCTGTAAAATAAATATAATTTCAGTGTCAGTCGCATGTCCCCATAGCAAAATACCATACGGCATAATGCTATGGAAATAACTAAAGTAAACTATTCTAGCTGTTTCAACACTGGTAAGAGTTCTAATCTTTTTCACAGCATATGCTGCGGAACTAAGTCTGCTAGCTAGTTTTAATATATGGGGGAGCCATTGAAGCTTTGCGTCCAGTGTGATTCCAAGAAAAATGGTGGTATCAACAAGACTCAGTTGCCCCCCATTTAAAATTACATTAGTATTGACATGTTTAACATTAGGAGTTACGAATTTCATACATTTAGTTTTAGTTACATTCAAATGCAAATTATTAACATTAAACCAATTGACTAACTCAGCTAGAGTATTATTTATTTCGTCGTCGTTTGTCGTTTTAATTTGAAAATTAATGAAGTATCATCAGCAAATAATAGTATATCATGGTTATCCCCTACTATGTAAGGTAAGTCATTAATATATACAAGAAACATAAAGGGGCCGAGAATTGACTGTGGCACGCCCATTTGTACAATCGACCCGGAAGAACTCATACTATTAATGACAACTTTTTACGTTCTGTCACTTAAATATGAAATAATTAATTTAAGAGCATCGCTTCTTACACCGTAGTGTTGAAGTTTTCTGATTAATGTTTCATGGTCAGTTGTCCTTTGACATTGTCGCTAAACACACGCTTGTTCGTTTGAATAGTTATCTCAATCTTTCTCAATCAGTCTTTCTCAAACTTTTCATAATGTTTACCTGCTCTGGTTGCGGCCTTCAACACTCTGACGGTCCTGTTTGCAGTTTATGTAAGAATCGGTACGACTTCGGTTGTGCTGGAGTTACTGAGACCGGGTTTCGGAAGCTTGGTGACAGGAAGAACAACTGGCGCTGTCCGAAGTGCAAGGCGGGCCCACCACTTTCGCCGACTCCTAACTCACCAGCGATTAGTCAGATGGATAGTGTGCTAGAACAGCTGAGCCATATTAATCTACGGTTGGCTCCATTGGCGTCGCTGATGGAAGACATCAAATCCATCAAGTCGGATGTCATTAGTCTAAAGTCGTCGTTAGAAATGGCACATGAGTTAATAGATAAATTTTCGAGTACTGTTAAATCCCTGGAATCGAGGATAGCTAAAGCGGAGGAGATGGCGAATGACGTATCAGGGCTGCGTGCGGAAATAACCAAGTTAAACCAGGAACTTGACATCAGGGACCAGTGGGCTAGATCCAACAATATTGAAATCAGGGGAATACCACAAAAAAATAATGAAGACCTCTATGATTTAACTCAGAAAATTGGCAACATGTGTAATTTTCCTGTAAAAAAAGAAGATATAAATTATATAGCCAGAGTGCCCACTCGTGTACCGAATGTTGAGAAACCAATAATTGTTTCCTTTAACAATCGATATATTAAGGAAAATTTTGTTTCATCATCGCGTAAGACTCGGCTGTCGGTGTCGGACATGGGCTTTGCATCTACTGGATATTGTTATGTGAATGATCACCTAACTCAACGGAACAAGGTTTTACTGAGCAAAGCCAAATCTCTGGCGAAAAATAATAATTTTAAATATATATGGGTTAAGCACTCAAAAATTATGGCCAGGAAGTCTGATACTTCTCCTATATTTTTTATAAGGTGCGAGAAAGATCTTGTCAGAATAGTTTAAATATTAATTTGACCTTTTTTCTTTTGTACTCAAAAAATTTATTGTCTTATGAAATATTGTTACAAAGTTTGAGAGCCGTCACCGTCTGTTTGTTAACGTTTTATTTTATCCATAAATATGACTGTGTTGCAGAGTTCAAGCTAATATCATATGTAAGTATGCAGCCATTGACGCAACGTTCACCCGTATGGGCACGTTTATACATCAGCGTACTACCCATTTTAGATTGCGCGCTACTAAACTTAAGTCTGATTTTGCCTGTCATTTACTTCGACTGCACAAGACCTATTATTAACTATTTCATATTTACCCTACTATTTATTGCTGTTATTATTTGCTATTTTAATATGAAATTATCTCGAATTAATACTAATATCAATCGAAATAGTACCACCAATCGTAATCTATTACCATTTATATTTTCTGGACTTGTCGTCTTAATGTTAATGTTAAACTGGAATTTGTTACGCGTTTACGCTCAATTTTCTCTCCTATGTTCAAGTAATTGCCAGTACATAGGAATTGTAAATGGCTGTCTCTTCAAGTACTATACGCGTAAA